ATTGCTAAGCCAAGGGATACCAAGATTGTAGAGCTTCGATGAGCAGTTCGTTGTTCGGACACTTGACTGCATGCGGAACTTGGGTGCACACAAGCCCTTCCAGAGTAGAATCATGCTTCCTGTAATTGGAATGCATACGAATACTGTTTGAAATACTGATACTCCACCAAATATGGATTATTTTACACACTCTGCTTACCTCCTTTAGCCTACATGCAACACTCTGCCTCAAATCATCCATAATTCCCTGTCATTGTGTTCTCATTCAGGCGGACGTTTACCACGCGTATCAAGTCGTGCGTAAAAACAAGGTTCCACCGGAGAATATAATTACTCTCGCCTACGATGATATTGCAAACAATCCCAGGTAAATATCGCGTACAATTTTCGCTATATGTTATCAAATAGATTGCCAAAGCGCGATTCGTTGTTTGGATATAACACGTCTCATGGTTTTGCTGTCATATCAGATTTCCTTTGTTTGATGCGCTTTTAAGACTGTAGACGGCATAGAACCCTGATGCATGCAGCACATGTTGATGATATTCATGATGGTGACGATGATGATAATGATATGTAGTCTGAAATGAATCACCTTGAAGTATGGATGTCGTTTGAGTGCTGAAGATGATGCTGATGATGATGATGATGATGATGATGATGATGATGATGATCCGGATGATGATGATGATGATGGTGGCGATGTTCAGGATGATGATGATGATTTTGATCCGGATGCTGATGATAATAATAACGATGAAGATTATGGTGAAGATGATGATGATCTGGATGATGATGAGTAGGCTGGTGAGGATGATGATGATGGTGATGTTCAGGATGATGATGAGCATGATGATAAGGATGATGATGATAATGATGACGATGAAGTTGATGATGAAGATGATGATGATGCTGATGATGTTGATGTTCATGATGATGACGATTTTGATCCGGATGATGATAATGATGATGATGAAGTTGATGATGAAGATGACGATGACGATGATGATGCCAGTGTTGATCAGGATGATGATAGCGATGATCAGGAGAAGGATGATGATGATGCTTCATATGATGACCAGGATGATAATGTTGATGATGATGGTGATGATCAGAGTGATAACGATGATGATGTTGATGATGAAGTTGATGATGATCAGCATGGTGTAGATGATCTGGATGGTGATGATAATGATGATGACGATGATCAGGATCATGATGATGACGATGATGATGATGATGATGATGATGATGATGATGATAATGATGATGATCGAAATGACGATGTCGACGATGATTCTGGTGATCAGGATGATGATGAACAGGATGAGGGTGATCAGGAAAATGATGATGATTAGGATGATGATGAGGAGGAGGATGATATGTCCTCGTTTTATTAATGACTAAACTGAACGTACTCACACTGCTATCTAAATAGTTTAGTACATCAAACGGCTATCGAGGTGGAGCAAACAGTAATCAAACAATCTAATAAGCTAAACATTTTGAAATGCAGCCGAATGGGAGGAAAATCTCTGAATGGGAAGTTACCCAAACGGATTATATTTTCCCACCAAATTTGTAATTTTCTTTGTTGTACACTCTACGGGGATCATTGGAGGATACCTTAATTATTTCTGCGTAAAGGATTATTAGTCACACCCAGTCGAATGTGTGACAGAAGTTGCACGCGTTGTCGTGAAAATTTATTCCTAAAGAAACCCGGGAACCAAATTCCAGCTGCACTGATGAGCCGTTCATATCTTTATATTCGACCCACATGTAAATTCTCTCAAAAGACCCACCGCCTCTTTTCATTCTTTAATTCCAGGAATCCGTTTAAAGGACAAGTGTTCAATCACTACAATCACCGAGATGTCTACAAAGGTGTGGTAATTGATTACCGTGGAAAAGTAAGCCCGTGTTTCCGGCGCGCGCAATCAATTGCATTAGTTCACCGTGTAAAAAAAAGATGAAATAAATGACACTGCAAAAATTGAATTCTTCAGCTATCAGCATACAGCGACCATCGTGACAATAATATGAGTGAAGCTGGAGGACAGACCGTAAATTTCAATTATTTGTTAGATTCCAAATGTATAGTTACTGTGAATAGACTGGGTGTGAAGTACTCCATTGTCACCCGAATAATTGGTCATGCATTTTCATCCGTTTTAGGATGTCACACGGGATAACTTCATGAAAGTGCTGAAAGGCGATAAGAAACATGAAGCCAACGAGAAGAAGGTGCTGGAAAGGTTCGCCTCAAGTTGGTTGTAATATTTTCCGTCATTAGTGTATGCATTATGTAGATCTTTTGTGTAACAGATTTAACCCTGCTAACAAATGCGTGTTTCTGAATGACCTGAATGTGACTGTTTGAAAGAAAAGATGTTAACACTAGCTACAGTGGAAAACAGCTTCCAAAGACTTTTATGAATTCAAAACCATAAGTGCTGCTACATCCCGTGATACAAGTGTTAACCAACAGACGTCTGAAGAATCGAATTTGCAAATAGCAGTCTAGGGGATGTTAATTTAGCTACTAATTATATCAAGCAGTGTATATAAATCAATATTCCAAACTACGTGTTCGCCATTCTTACATTTCCGCGGGTTGTTTGTTGTGCTTTCCTTTGCGCGACAGCGCCACCCAATGAGCTACTCTTCAAGACCACCTTAAACTTTCTGCCTACTAACAGCGGTCCTGATGACAACGTGTTTATCTTCTACTCTGGCCATGGTGGGAGTTCTTATATTGGCCTCCTAGGAGAATATGTAAGTTTAATTAATATTGGTAAACACGGATTTACCACGCAGTTTTTTTTAATTGGAAGCTAAATAGGAAACGGATTGAAAAGGCTTACGTAAACATGTTGGTGCAGTGAAATCGGTACGTCTTTCTAAAAGGGAGTTCATAGTTAAGCTGTTCTACACATCAACCGAAAAATGAAACACAAGCTACCATGTTCATACGTCACTCTTAAGAGTGATATCTCCAGGAATTCAAGTTTGTTAGGCCTCCTCGATGTGCTATAACTGATAACGTCACAGATTTTTTTGTGAAATTTAAGGTCGTTTGACTCACACGATTTTGCGGTTGATCCATTCAGACTGCTGAGCAAACGTAGATACCATAAACAAAGAATTTGGTCGGTAGTGAGGCGTGGATGACGCGCAGAACGCGTCAGCCAAATTCTTCCTGACAAGACAACACGCTGCTCCTCGCTTCTAGAGCGACAGCACGAATCTTCAATAGTATGAAGTTTTGTGGTTATGTATGAGAAGCCAGTCTGTGATGGAAAACCGAGAAGCAAAGCAAAACTGTTCCATCCTTGTTGGGAATAATCAGTGGTGCGCTCGATAGATGCAACGTGTAACCGTTCGGCCACGAGCGACCAACCAACAGCATGATTCACCCGCACTAAGTCAGGACATAACGTGGTTCATTCCTCAACCAAGGTATCCACATAACTGGTGGCCGACTCATCGAGTGACTCATTTCGAGCTCACGAGAATTTTTCTTCTTGTCTTGCGACAGCTGTATGCCATCGAGTTGAACGATACCCTCGCCTACATGCATTCAAAGAAAAAGTTCAACAAATTGGTGCTCTACATGGAATCTTGCAACTCAGGCTCTATGTTTAAAGATGTTCTTCCTTCAAATATGGGAAGTAAGTAGCGTAAATTTCTGGCTGATTCTTGCATGGATCTCTTGAAATAGCAGTCATAGTGTCAGACACATATAGTTTGAAAGCGGCGTTGACCATTGAAACAGAACCAAGCTTGGGAACAAAGTTTGGTTACGCGCTTGGTTTATTATTGTTCACTTCGCGATTTTTGTATGCAAGTAGCCCGTGACTCTACTCAAAAAGCGTTTAGCCGATGTAGGCCTTCATCGACTGA